TAAATTAAATAGAAAAATAAGATTATTTTAAGTGTTCTCACGAGTGATAAATTTTTTTAGAAAAAGAATTATCTGATGACGATAAGCTTTAATTTTGGATTGATGACATGCAAAGATGGAATTCCTACGTAAACCACTTTTCTTTTTCTCCCATCTCTCTGACATCCCCTATTGCATTCCACGTGCCTTTTTTCTTTTTCTTTTTTCCTATTTAAAACCTCATATTTTATTTATTCCAAATTTCTCACACAAAAAAATAATAAATAAATAAATCAAATTAAACATCTTTATATATTAAAAAAAAAATTAAAGTAGCGCCCATGGACATAATGAGTATATCGTTTTTCTTTAATTAATATGAACTCCGGGTTTACTTGATTTTGTTTAGTTTATTTTTAAAAATCAAATTAATGAAATAAATGAAGAATAATCAAATTGAACAAAACCCAACTAGTTCTAAGGAGTTTGTGTTCCATTCGAAAATTTTAGTTAAATTTATTATAATTGAGTGGGTGGTGGCAATTAAATGAATTTTAGATAGGTTTAATTGAAAAATATTGCTCGAAAATAATTCAACTTAACTAAAGGGTAAACACAATAAATTAATTTTAAAAAGTTTATATACAAAAAGTTCCAATTGTTCGATAACTTCCTTGTTTCTTGTTTCTAATTTTCTTAAAAAATTTAAGCATTTTACAACTAATTATATTGGTTGTTTTTCATTTTTTTTTGGAAAAATTTATAGAAATTTTAAAAACAACCAAATTAAGTTTGTTGTTCTCATTTACAATTTGTTCCATTATTTTATCCTACTTGAATTCTTGGATGTTGGATTCATTTTTCAAGGATCTTACATGACTTTGGACACTCACCGGCCGAACTTGTATTAACTTCAGTCTTGGGCTAACTTGAACCTTGCTTAACTTGAACTTTGGGTTTAATTAATCATGAGTTTTTTACCCAACTAGTTGATTATTTGATGGATTCGGACTTTGCTCGGTTTGACCAAATTTGCTTTAGTGGACTTGGGTGGATTTGTATTTTAGACCCAATTGTCAGATACGAGGCATAGTATGATTAGACCATTTTATGAGCGGTTTTATTTGATTTGTCAATTTTCTTGTCATCTAATTGAGAGACACATGTCAAGTTCTAAATATAATTTCGTCCTTAATTTATTTGTAATTGGACAAAATTTATCACTCAACTATTTCGTAATTGTTTCTTATCATTTGATTCAGGAAAAAAGAACATTTAGCGACATTTTCTTTTTTTTTTTTTTATCTAAAATTTTAGATTAAAAAATAAAGTTTTACCTTATTTTCTTTTTCTAAAAAATACTAAAATATATTAGAAGAAAATTATTGTCTTATATTTAATCTTTTAAATAGTGCATTGTATAATCAATAAAGTATTATCTAAAAAAATATAAATTAATATTTCTATTTATATTTTCTAGGCGCCGAAAATCTTTTTATCATGTCAAGATTGGATATAGATCTTATATTTTGAAATTAAATGTCTTTGACCTAGCTTTTGATTCAATTTAATTATGGTTAAGTTAGGTTGCTTAAAATTATTTGGTAACCCTCTTATTTCTCATTTCATTTTTTAAAAATATTATCAAAATTGTATAAAATTTTAAAACAAATAATAAAATCTGGTTTCCTTTCGCTTATTCTCATTTCTAGTTTTAAAAATATAAATAAAAGTGTTATTTTATTATTATTTTAATTATAAAAATGTATAATTAATATTTAAAAGCTACAATATAATGTAATAATTTTAATTATTTTTATTTAAAAAAGTAATTTTCATGTAAAACAAGATTTAGAAAAATAAATTTGAGATAAAAAAAAGAAATAATTACAAATATGTTATATTTTTTTTAATGAAAAGAAACAAATAACCTAGTTTTGTTTTTCTTTAATTAAAAAAAGGTAACCATAATCCAGAAATTAGAAGATTTTGACCTATTTCTATTTGTTAGAATAACGAGATTAAAAATAATTTCAAATATACCTTAATTTAGTTTACTGTCTTGCATGTATGAAAGTTGGAGGATTTTTAATTAATTTTTATTTAAAAATTAGGCTAAATATAGCAAATAGTAATTTTCTCAATTGGATCTTTAGTATTCTAAAATTCTCAATTTTGTCCTAACATAAGTAAATTTCTCAATTGACAATCTTAAAAGCTTACGGAGAAAAAAAAAAGATTAGGTTCATATGTTACATTTACCCCAATAATTATTACTATGTTTCTTTTTTTTTTAAATTAAAAGCATGTTTCTCAAACACATTTTTTCTATTTTTTTATTCGTTTATTTATATTTAAAATTTATCTAGTGGCATGTTGAAAAACAATAATAATAATAAACTTTAGAAATGCCTCCTATGAATTTAGTTATGGACCTACGGATTGCCCAAAAGAGAATTGGGCCAAGGATATTGACAGCATTCAAACGTTTTTTTTTTTTAATAATAATTGTAATAATTATCTACTACAATAATTTGGCTTATTGTTATTTATTGTTTGTTATTATTATTATTTTGTAGATTATAGCTTAACCTCCATTACTCCATGTAAATTTTCATTGAACAATTTAACACATTATATATATATACTTTGTATGTAGTTCTAAATTGTGATTAACTCATCAACCTTTGTATGCTTGTATTTACATATATATATATGTCGTATGTACTTCTAAATTGTGATTAAACATTAATTACACTCCTCAATTAAGTACCACCATTTTCCGTTAATTATTTAAAACAAATTATTGCTTTTTAACAATTTAAAAGTTCCATTCTATCTTTAAATAAATTCCTATCTTAGTTAATATTTAACAACAATTCTCAAGGATATAAATTACCGAATGATTCTATGATTTAAAGAAATATGGAGTTTGTCTAAATAATTAAATAACGAATTATTACTAAAACGTAATGTTTTCAAGATAGATGAATTATTTCTCCTTCGACCAAATATTTTCCATCGTGTTCATTGTGTTATTTATGTTCAAGTTATAACTTGAGAAGATAATAGAATACCGAAAACTCTGATAATATCCGCTTAAAATTGATTGCCCATTGACAAGTGATACTATATTAATATGTGACAAAATCCGAACTTTATATCCGCATTTAGTCATAAATTCTACTCCAACAGCTTTTTCAAAAAAGTGAACCATTAAAGAGGGGTGGTTGCATTAATATATCAACTATCAAAAGACTATTATAAACAAAAAATTTAATAATAATAATAATATTGATGTGAATTATTTATTATTACCCAGCACTTTATATCCTTATCTCAATTACGTGTAAATGAATTCAATTCCCTAACGCCCCTTTCCTTCACATTCTCTTTTATTTATAATAATAACAACAAATAATCAAATTTTAAAAATCAAACCCCTAAACTTCAGCTAAATCCCATGTTTTGCCCGTCGTTTTCTCCTTTCCAGTTCCCCTCCTTGCCGATATGAGTCACGGGTTCGTCAGCCTTTTCTGGAGTCGGGTGGGCTTTTAACATCACCGAGTCAATTCCTCATGGGCCCCCAGAAAGGCACATATGGCCCACTTAACGACCGCACGTGGGCCCAATAAGATGCACGTTGTGGATTTGGGCCGTA